ACTTACAAGCTTTTGCACAGCAAAGAAAACCACTGACAAAGCAACAAGACAACCTACTGAACGGGAGAAAATATTTGCAAATGATATAACCGATAAGGGGTTAATATCCAAAATGTATAAGCAACTCATGCAACTCAACATCCAAAAAAACAAATAACCCAATTAAAAAATGGGTGGAAGTCCTGAAGAGACATTTTTTCCCAAAGAAGATATATAGATGGCCAACAGGCACATGAAAAGATGCTCAACATTGCTAATCATCAAAGAAATGCAAATCACAACCACAATGAAATACCACCTCACACCTGTCAAAATGGCTACCATCAAGAAATCTACAAATGATAAATGTTGGCAAGGATGTGGAAAAAAGGGAAACCTTGTGCACTGTTGGTGGGAACGTAAATTGGTGCAGCCACTGTGGAGAACATTACGGAGGTTTCTTAAAAAACTAAAAATAAAACTACCCTATGGTATGGCAAGTCCACTCCTGAGTATATTATCTAGAAAAAATGAAAACACTAATTTGAAAAGATACATGCACCCCAATGTTCATAGCAGCACTATTTACAATAACTAAGATGTGACAGCAACCCAAGTGTCCATCAATAGATGAATGGATAAGTACGTACACACACACACACACACACACACACACACAATGGAATATGACTCGGCCATAAAAAAGAATATTTGTCCATTTGCAGCAACATGGATAGACCTGGAAGGTTTTAAGCTTAAATAAGTCAGACAAAGACAGATATTATATGTTATCACTTATATGTGGAATCTGAAAAATATAACAAATGGATATAACAAAACACTCATAGATATAGAGAATAAACTAGTGGTTACCAGTGGGGAAAGGGAAGGAGGGAGGGGCAAAATAGGGGTAGGGCATTAAGAGGTATAAACTACTATATAAAATAATCTACAAGGATATATTATACAGCACAGGGAATACAGCCAGTATTTTATAATAACCTTAAATAGAGTATAACATATAAAAATATTCAATCATTATGTTGTACATCTGAAACTAATATTATATATCAACTATACTTCAAAAAGCAAAAATAATAAACTGAAAATCTGAAGAGTTATGCTCTCAGGGTACTAATGACTCAGAATTAAACCTGCCCCCTCCATCCTGCTCCAAATCTCAGGGAACTGTAGATAAGACTGATTTGGTGCTAAGAGAAGCAAAATCAAAATGCAACAAAGTTCCTGCGAAGTCAGAGCTACAGATCTGCCCTTTCACTGATTTGAGACCCAGGGATGTGTAAGCTGGTTGGGCAGAGAACTCCAAGCAGTGAATTTGGAATGATGGGGGCCCCTTCACCCTAGGCTTCCAAGAATCCCCACATATAAGTTTTTGAAGCCAGTGATCACCACACATTTAAAGATGACCAAGAACATGTGAAAACAACAAGCCACGAGCAGACACGTGTGGGCTCTGTGTCCTGGAACTGGGCGCACTGTGGCAAACCCCGGCTGGTCGGTCCCATGCACTTGGCCCTACTGCATTCCTGAGTCCTTCGTAGTCAGGCATGGCCAAATGACTGAAGTCTGGGCCAAAGAATGTAGGTGGTAACAACTGTGCAACTTCTGGGCCTCACCCATAAAAACCTCTATCTGAACCTCCATACTCTTCTCTCATTCCTGGATGCCTGGCCTGGGCCCAAACTCTAGGGGAATCTTAGGAACCATGGGTTGATGATGAGAAGGCACCAGAATGAAGGGACCTGGGTCCCCATTTCACCACCTGGGGGAAAGCTGCCCAATGGAGAAACACCTACAGTGCACTACTCTGTGGTTAGTGAATAAACCTGCATTAGTTTAAGCCATGAAATTTTAAGGTTTGTTTGATAAGCAGCTAGTGTTACTGTAATACAGACATGGGTTATAAAACAACGGAGCTTCTTAGGTTTGAAAAAGTCAAAGGTAAGCTTGAAAATACCGGCACAGAACAGGAAGCTAAAGTGTTAACAAATGTTTAAAAGCGCAAACACAACACAACATACAAAAATCAAAAGATGGAAAATAGTGGAGAGATTAAAAGATGTGGAGAGAACAATGAAATCTCAGATGTATAGATCTCTATTCTAGGAGGAGAGAAAGAGAAGGGGGTGGTGCTAGAGAGAGAATCTGGATCAGAGAAAAGCACTTTGAAAGCATAGCGGCTGAGAATTTGCCAGAACTGGTGAAAAACACCAATCCAGATTCAAGAATCCCAAGAATAAATTTAAAAATTCTCACCTATCCATGGTAGTAAAATTACAGAAAAACCAAAGACAATGGGAAACTTCAGAACATCCACTGAAAAGACAGGCTCCCTCCAAGAACAGCAGTTAGACTGACAGTGACCTCTTGGCCGCAACAATGGAAGCCAGGGGATGGTGGAATGCACTCAGTGTATTTCAGTGTGTTGGAAGGAAACAGCCACTGACTTAGAATTTATGCTCAATATATTCAAGTATGACAGTGAAGACAGTTTTAGACAAACCAAAACACATACTTTTATCACCAGGCTCTCCTGTTACGCTTGTTAAAAATGAAGCTTCAGGACTTCCCTGGTGGCACAGTGGTTAAGAATCCGCCTGCCAATGCAGGGTACACGGGTTCGATCCCTGGTCCAGGAAGATCCCACATGCTGTGGAGCAGCTAAGCCCGTACACCACAACTACTGAACCTGCACTTTAGAGCCTGCAAGCCACAACCACTGAGTCTATGTGCCACAACTACTGAAGCCCATGCACCTAGAACCCATGCTCCACAACAAGCCACCGCCAATGAGAAGCCCACGCACCACAACGAAGAGTAGCCCCCGCTCACCACAACTAGAGAAAGCCCACGTGCAGCAATGAAGACCCAATGCAGTCAAAAATAAACTTTTCTAAAAAATGCAGCTTCACGGGCCCCACTGTGGACCTCCTGCTTCAGAAACTCAGATAGAGGGCCCAGAAATCTAAGCACTGCCAAGCGATTTACACAGTCACACACTGGCGATTTTCCAGGGTAGGGACTAAGGTAGGGCTTTGCAGGAGACTGCTGGAGATGTCAGGTGCCCAGCCTGAAGGGTCTTATGTGCCAGCCTGTTGAAAATGGGGAGACACAGTAGGGTCTAGGCAGGGGAGTGAGAATAACCAGGTTTGGACAGATTGCTTCAGCCAGAGAGGGTAAGAGTAGAGGAAGGGAAGGCTGCTGGAAGGAGGCCCTTTGAGAAGTGACTTCAGGAATCCACTAGAGAAGCAGTGGACGCAGCTTAGTGTTGTCACACATGCAGGGTCCTTGTCCTATCCCAGTGCAGCTGACCCAGTGCAGCTGACCCACTGGCACTAGACATGCAGGTCCAGGGCTCAGAGAAGTCTGACAGGAGTCCTAACCTGTCGGTGTGAGGGTTGTGTGTGAAGCCAGGGAACTGAATTAACTCACTCAGAGGAGGTGGGCAGAGCAGGAAGAGAAAAGGCCGATCCACACAACCTTGGGAACAGCAGTTAAGGGAGGGGAAGGACTAAAGGAAGAAGCTAACACCTTCTTGTTGACTATCTTCTTTGTGAAAGTCACAATGTCAGGCATTTTATTCACCATGTCTCAGTCAGTTCTCAACAGCTTGGGGAGGTCCATCCCCATTTCATAGACAAGGCCAGGCTGAGTGGAATTAAATGACCTGCCCAAGGACAGAGCAGCCTGTAAGTGGTGAAGCCAGGGTTTGACCAGGTAGGTCCGTCTGATGGGCGTTTGCCTTAGTAAAGGAGTGAGAAGACAGACCTGCTAGGCCTGCACCAAGAATGCAAATTCTGCCCGAGACAACACCAGCTGCTTTCCACAGGGCACAGCATCTCCCAGGAACAGGTCCCCTGCTGTCCACACACACCTCTCCCTGCAAGAAGTTTCTATGACACAGCAAAGGACATGGGTCTTTCCAGAGGCTGTGGGGTCACCTCTCAGCCCAACCTAAAACCTGAGGATAGTAAGGGGTTTTGCCAAATGCCTTTCCTGCAGCTGATACGACTGTGCTTTTCCTGCTTTACCCTGTTGATGGGATGGATCGCTCTGATTTTCAAATGCTGAACCAGCCTTGCATACGTGAAGTAGACCCCACTTGATCTTGGTGTATAATTCTTTTTATACATTGTTGGATGCAATCTGCTAATATTTTGTTAAGGACTTCTGTATCTATGATGAGAGATACTGGTTCCTAGTTTTCTTGGATTTTGTCTGGTTTTGGTATTAGGGTAATGCTGGCCTCATAGAATGAGTTAGGAAGTATTCCCTCTGCTCTATCTTCTGGAAAACTGTAGAGGACTGGTATAATTTCTTCCTTAAATGTTTTGTAGAATTCACTAGTGAAGCCACCTGGGCCTCATGCTTTCTGTTTTAGAAGGTTGTTAATTATGGATTCAATTTAACAGATACAGGCCTACTCAGATCATCTATTTCTTGTATCAGTTTGGCAGACTGTCTTTCAAAGAATTAGTCCATCTCAGGTAGGTTATCAAATTTGTGGGCACAGAGTTGCTCCGTGTTCCTTTATTATCCTTTCAATTATCATGGGATCTGCAGTGATGTCCCCTTTTATTTCTGGTACTAGTAATTTGTGTCTTCCCTTTTTTTTCTTAGCCTAGCTAGGGGCCTATTGACTGTATTGATCTGTTCAAAAACCAGTTTTTGGTTTACTTGATTTCCTCTATTGATTTCCTGTTTTCAATTTCATTGATTTCTGCTCTAGTTTTTATTATTTCTTTTCTTGTGCTTACTTTGGGTTGAATTTGCTCTTTTTCCAGTTTCCTAAGGTGGAAGCTTAGTTTATTGATTTTAGATGTTTCTTCTTTTCTCATATACGCATTCAATGCTATAAACATCCCTCTGAGCACTGCTTCTGCTGCATCCCACAAATTTTGGTAAGTTGTAATTTCATTTTCATTCAGTTAAAAATATTTTAAAGTTTCTCTTGAGATTTCTTCTTTGACTGTGCTGGGTGCTTTAGAACACTGAGACACTTACCTCTGGGAGGCAAAGAGTAAAATTCCCATTTTACAGATGGGGAACAGGTCAACCCAGGGTCACATGGCTGGGAAATGGCAGAGCTTGGGCTGGTGTACCGTCTGTTTGGTCCCCTGAGGACCAGCCCAGAGCTGAACTCCCCTGATGTTACCACTGGCGACCCTACGTGCCTGGTGAGTTGAAATGGTGAGCTCTGAACCGTTACAAAGTCAAGCTGATCCTGGAGGTTCAGAGACTGAAAACCTGGCTTGGTTAGACCTGGGGTCACTACCGTTAGGGACCAGGGACCAAGGCCAGACACACTCCAGCCTGAGCTGCTTGCTCTCTGACCTTGGGTGTCCCTGGGGCACGGTGGGATCCAAGCAGAGGAACCACCCCTCCATGCCAAGGAAGCACGTGGCCACTGTGCAGAGGGTCCCCCCCAGATGTTTCTCCAGCCCCCACCAGGCCTGGGGCCTACCCCTGGGCAGTCTTAGGACACTGTGCTGACCCAGTGGCACCATCAAATCACACTTATTTTGAGTAGAAAATAAGCCACTTCTTCAGCAATACATCAAAATGTGGGGCTCTTTGAGCTTGCTGGGCTCACCTGGTCCTGGCTTCCCCGGAGGGTCCCTTGTGCAGCCAGGCCAGACTAGAGCCCTCAGGATGGCAGGGCCCAAGGAAGGGACGTGGTGCAGCAGCAGGGTCCTGGGGAGGTTGCCACTAGGCTGGTCAGTAGCAGTCGGCCTCGTTCTCCCCAAGGACGCCCACGGCAGCCAGCATGTCCTGCAAGAGTGACTGGGGGCTCTTCTCCACATGGTCACTGCTCTCAGCCAGAGTGTCCCGAAGGCCCTCCAGGTCTACAGACCTCAGCAGAGCTACGACGGCCCCGGGCTCCAGGTACCCCAGGGGCTGACCCTGCTCACCTGCCTGCCACCTCTGCAGGGTGGCCTCCACAGAGGCCACGTTGGGACTGTCCCCCGCCTCCTGCGGGCTGCCACAGGGAGCAGCCTTGGCCCTCAGGAATAGGAGAAGATCACAGGACTTCTGGGCCACAGGTCGGTCACAGTCAAACAAGGCACGGAAGGCAAACTCAAAGAGCTGCACACGGCAGAGCACCTGCAGGGCCTGGGCCAGCACACCAGGTGGGGCTGTCTCGGGCAGGGCCACGGCATAGGGACAGTGGGAGCCGCGCTGACCCAGCAACTGCTCCAGGAACACCAGTGCCAGCTCGAGGCCCTGGGCCCGCACCTCCCAGTCCAAGTCCCTGCTCGCCGCCTGGAGCGCTCCAGCCACAAACCGCTCCGCGTCTTCAGCTACATCAGCGTGGCCATCCCTCAGCCACTCAGTGAAGACCTGCATGACGGCCCTCCGGGGGAAGCCCTCCGAGTCTGTGGAGAGGATGTGCAGAAGCTCCACGAGCAGGCTCTCCTGGAGGACAGAGTGGGAAGAGGGTGGAGGGACCAGGGAAGTCGAGTTCCCGCTGACGGGCTCGGGGTGCAGCAGGGAGAACCCCCATGAGGACCCCCTGCCATGCTCGGCTTCCTTCAGGCGATGTGCCCTTCAGCCCCCCATCTGCCCACCGTCAAACAGGGGTGGCCGTGCCCAAGAGACAGGGCTTCCAGGAAGTGGAGCTGGAGATTCAGGGGACACGCCCGACCCTGAATGCCACCCCGGACGGCAGACCCACTCCACCCTGGCATCAGGACAGCAGCCAGGTGGGCGCACGGCCACAGGACCCACTGCCTCCTACCTGCTGAGCCCCTGGGCACTCAGGGCTGGCAGGGGTGGCACACAGCCCCCAGCTAGACAACTGCCCTGTGGCGGTCACTGCGCTCGCGCGGACGTAACTCTCAGGGTCTCGCAGAAGCTGCTTGGTGAGCTCGGGCACCTCTGAAGCAAGGAGCGCTTGTCTGAAGCCGGCCTGCCCTGGGGGTCCAAGAAGCCACAACCAGCTATGACCGAAAGCTGAGTCCACAGCCTCTCCTCCCTCCCCAAAGGCAGCCTAGGTAGTCCGAGTTCCCAACTACCTGGGGACAACGGTGTGCCAAGGCCAGGCCAGCCCTCCCACAGGGACCCCAGCCCCCGGCACCGCACCCTGCACTCACCTCCCCAGTGTCTGGTCATTTGGGTCAGGAACTCGAGGCCTGAGTCCCTTACCTCCCAGCAGGGGCTGCACAGGCGCTTCTGTAGCACAGGAAGCAGCTCTGGGGCAGGAGGAACGGTTCAGAGGGCCCGGGCCATGTCCACCCTGCCTCCCACCCAGCCCCCAGTCGCCTCCATCCCTGCTCCTCCCTCAGTTCACCCCTGGGAGGGGCTGGGATCACCTCTGAGGAACAGCTGGGTGTGGGGGTCCAGGTCGCAGCAGTCGGGGGTCTTGGGTGAGCTCAGGAGCCACCTGAGTGTGGCCTGGAAGGCCTTCTTCAGAACCTGGAGTGGGAAGAGTGGGGCTGCAGGGCCAGGAGGGGTGAGCTGGCCCGCCTGCCCCCGTCCCCGCCCTGGGGTATAAGATGGGGATGGGATACATGGGGACAGGGAACACCGGACTTCATTTTTACGAGGCAGAAGCCTCTGGAAGTGGCCGACTGGCATCCAAGACTAGAGAGAGAGGAGGAGAGGCCAGCTCTTGTCAGGAAGCCCCACTACCGGGGAAATGAAACTTCTGCACCAAAACAGCAGGAACTACCCATGGCACCTTTTCCTGAAAGCCCCGGAATCTGCCAGGCTTATCATCCAATCTCCCCACTGCCTGCTCAGTACATATGCTATTCCTGCACCCCCAGAGCATGACTCAACCCCAGGGCTAGGAGAACGGGGAGATTTGCAGGAAACCTCAATGAGAGTTGGGACCCCAAGCGTAAGGCCCACCTGGTTCTAGTTTACATCTCTCATGGAGAATTCCTTGTAAGACTGGATCCTCTCCCTGCTTTCCATGGCCCGGCGACCCCTCACTCAATCTCCACCAATGCCAGGCCCTGGGCCGAACCCTGTGCAGCTGCCTGCCCCTTGAAACTCACTTTAAGAAGCAATTCTGGGGACTTCCCTGGTGGCGCAGTGGTTAAGAATCCACCTGCCAATGTAGGGGGCACGGGTTCGGGCCCTGGTCCAGGAAGATCCCACATGCCGCGGAGCAACTAAGCCCGTGCGTCACAGCTATTGAGCCTGTGCTCTAGAGTCCGCGACCCACAACTACTGAGCCTGCGAGCCACAACTGCTGAAGCCCACTGCACCTAGAGCCCGTGCTCCACAACAAGAGAAGCCACTGCAATGAAAAGCCCGTGCACCACAACGAAGAGTAGCCCCTGCTCGCCACAAGCACAGAAAGCCCGCGTGCAGCAACAGCCAATATTTTAAAATTATTAAAAAAAAAAAAAAAGAGGCAATTCTGGCCCCAGAGAGGCCTGCAGGGGTGCCCTGCCTCTGCCTTCCTCCCCCTCCCCTTCCCTCCACCCTCCACCCTGCACCCTGTGCGTGTACCATGGAGCTGGACTCAGGGCTCACGAGGTACTCCAGGAGGACGGAAAACACCTGCGTCACCAACTCTTGAGGGCCTGAGACAGACGTGGATGGCTGAAGCACCCAACCTCCTACCCTGGGGCCTCCCCAGCCCACAAGTATGGCAACCCAAGGAAAACAGGGGACAGAACCCATCGGTCAGCTGAATCCCAGCCCCTGCCCCAGAGGAGACATGCAGAGGACAGCAATCTTGGGATATCTCTGAGCAGCTGTGGGGCTCGCCCAACACCCGAGCTGTGCAAGAGAAAACATTCTCACTTACCGGTCCCCTGAGACAGCGCCCCCAGGAAATCCAGGGCAGCTCGCTGGACCCGGCCACAGCCCACCAGGATCGCACAGAGACGGCTGCCCACATCGGAGGTGGGGGCCGCTGAGCCACTGCAGAGCCGCAGTATTGTCACCGCAGCCCCAAGCAGGGGCGCCTGCGGCCAGGGCGAGGGGCGCTGGGGCTGGGGGAGGACGGAAGGTCAATGCAGGCCACAAGTCCCACTGCCAGTGTGGACCTGGGCCGGGCCTTACCTACCAGCGGCTGCAGCAGCCCCAGGTGGGCCAGAGCACAGCACAGGAGACCCACACAGGCCGACTTGGAGGAGAGGAGCGTGTCCACCGTCATCGAGTTGCCTGCGGCCCCCTCCAGCAAGCCTAGAGGGCGACCAGAAACAGCTCCTGGTTAGCGGGCACCTCCTGTGTGGCCACTGCAGGCCTTGCCGCTGGTCACTGCTTCATACCAGAGACCAGGCCCGGAGGTTCCGAGCAGGTGGCTCATCCAGGGTGGCGTCCAGCCGGCCGGAGCTGAGGTCTGGACCTGTCTGCAGGGCTCTCAAGCAGTCCCACTCTCCCTGCAGCCCATGCCTGGGCCGGTTTCCGCTGGTCAGAGGCCCATCTCTATGCTCAACATGGGGCTCCGAGGCAAAGCTGGCCCCCCTTCTCTAATCCTCACCCCATCGTGCGGCTGAAGCAAGACAAGTCGCAGCGAGGAAACTCACTCTCCCATCACAGAACTGACCTTCTGGGAGGACGAGTGCCAAGCCCGTGTGCCTGCTCTGGGTCAGGAACCATCCACGTGGCCCAGGCCCCCGGTAACCACCACCAACTGCCGGGTCAGCTACTCTGGGGGCCACTCCAGCTGATGCCCACAGGGGGCAATGCTGCCCTATGAACTCCCAGGCAGGGACGTGAGCAGCGGTCACACCTGGGACGGCAGCCTACACCGCAGCCACCTTCACTCTTAGGTGGGGTGGCAAGCCAGGTGTCCCGCTGCCCATCAGCCCGCCCTGGCCCCAAGGACATTCTCAGGACCCCAGGGTCCTGCCTTCCTGCACCTGCCCACCCTTCCCAAGCAGCCTACCTGGGGGTCCAGGGGCCTGAGCAGCAGCTTCCAGGACACAGGCCAGGGGCTGGAGGAGGATGCCAAAGGCCTGGGTCCTCAGTGCCTGTGGACTGAGGACAGAGGACACGGTGAGGGCTGTCCCCGCCCTCAGGCAAGCTGGCTACCCTCCTAATATCCCCAGCAAGTCTGGGCCAAAGGGGTCAGTGCTGGGGATCTGGACACCCCCTTGAGAAACAGCCTCCCTGTAAGCACTGTGACCAGCACTCACACCACTGGCAGGGGACTCGAAGGAGCTGCGAGAGCACCACCCAGGCCCCAGGAAGAGCCTGGGGAAGGCCTGGCCACGCCCACTCCGATGGGCGGTGCCTGCTCAGGGCCAAAGGGATGGGATGGCCCAGCTCCTGGAAGTACTCCCAATGCTGAGATATCCTTTCCTACGTTCCAGAACATGGTCTCGCCTCTCGCCGACGTGCTTGGGCCCAGGGTGGTTGGGAGGCCAAGCTGGTACAGAGCTCTCCCTCCAAGCCAGCTGCCCAATCCTTCCCTCTTCCTTAGGACCACTCCCTCTCTCTGAACATCTGGAGACCCTGGAGCCCAGAGCCAGGCTTGCATCGTACCCCAGTGCCCTGTGCCCACTTTCACCCCAGACCTGGGCCAACAAGACCGGCTCTAGTCCGCCCGAAACCCTGGAATGATTTCTCTTCCTTCCCACCTCTCCAGACCCCACACCCCCTTCCTGGTAGGGCGCATATCTCTCTCCCTCTGGGAATCTGTCCTGTCACTCCTGTCTACTGGGTCCCCCTCCACCGTCCCACAGCCCCTAGTACGCCCCCCCACACTGGCACGCACACAGGGTGGCCCAGGATCCACAAGGTGAGGCCACTGGGGAGGTGGCAGAAGGCAGCTGAGCAGATCCTGAGTATGAACCCAGCCCTGCTCTGAGCAGGGCTGCTCCAAGATCTCTTTTATCTTTGGGGAGCCTGTGAATAAAGCTATTCCACCACTAAAAACTGTAGAAGCCGGAGCCTGTGCCAACACCTTGGTGATAACCACGGACGGCCCGGCCACGCCCCGGCCAGCTGCCTCTGACCGATCTCTAGTTTCAGGAGCTCCCCTGAAGCTCCCTGACCTCTCTGCCCGCCTCACACAACATGAACCCCAATCCTTACCAGTCCTGCAGTTTCAGGATCCCCAAAGCCAGAGGCCCTGCCTGTGTGGGGCTCAAGTGGCTCAGTGTCTGGGCCAAAGTCTCCCACAGGCCACGGTAAGAGCTCGGCGCACAACTGCGGAGAGGAGCCCAGGAAGAGAACGTCATTCCCCCGTCCAGCCCACACTGTGCCCAGCGGGCCGCCGTGGCCTGGGCTGGGTGTGCCGGCTGAGACGGAAGGCCTTTCCCAGGTGTGCGGGCTTCCAGACCCCCTCTGGTGTCCCCTCTACTCGAGGCAGCGCTCTCGGGCAGCCAGGGAGATGTGGCCCAGGTGTGCGGGCTTCCAGACCCCCTCTGGCGTCCCCTCTACTCGAGGCAGCGCTCTCGGGCAGCCAGGGAGATGTGGCCCAGGTGTGATGGCTGCCCCAAGACTTCCCGAAGAAAACAAGCCCCACCTCCTGCCCACCCCACCAGCTGCGCCCTGGGGGCCTGACCGGGCCACGCTGAGGAGGAGATCCACGAGCGAGTGTGAGGCTGGGACAGGGTCTTTCTCGAGCAGACGGGCCACGAGGGGGCTCAGCCGCACCCAAAGGCCTTGCGTCCAAAGGCCGTGGCAGTGCCCGAACGCAGTGGTCAGGACACTCAGGGCCTGTGTGACCTGCGGGACGGCTGTGGAGCACAGGGAGTCTTCGATGTGACCCACGATCTTCTGGGCACATGCTGGCCAGTCACAAGCCTGCGGACTGCGGTGGCCCTCGGCTGGGCCCCGCATCGCCAAGTCCAGAATGTGCACCAGGAGCTGCCCGGCTGCCGAGGCCACAAACAGGCTGGGATCTCCCTGCAGGGAGAAGATGGTGTCAACTGCACCTGGGGGGCGGGGAGGGACAACGGGTGGGGAGAGAAACAGGGTTCAGCTGGAACAGAGTCCATGGTGACAGCAGAGACGCTGAAACCACTGAGCAGCTTCAACCACTGGACTTCAGACCCTCACGGACAGAACTCAGAAACTACCCAATGCGGAGGCACTGTCAGAGGCCCAGCCTCCCCGCTACTCAGAGGCAATGGAATCAGAATGGAGGGTTCACAGGGCAAGGGGCTTTAGAACCCTGGCCACTTGGGATTCTTCTCGTCAGTTTCAAAGCCACCCCAACTGCTGGCTCTCACCTACAAGCCACAGGACACCGTACACCCTTGAGGGGCCTCCAACCTTTGGTTACCCCAAATGTTCCTCACAACAGCCCTACGATACCACAGCCACTTTCATGTTCAGAGGAAGAGACCCAGCAAGGTGCAGTGATTTCCCAGGAGTCGCAGAGCATCAGGCACGGCAAGGGCAGAGGCGGAAGGCAGGGCAGACGGGGGCACTCACCACAGGCGGCGAGGAAGCGCAGGGCGCTAGGATGCTGTGCCAGGGTGCGCAGGCCCTGGATCCAGCCGCTGCGCACAGCGGGGGCTGTCCAGGCCGCTCCTCCGAGGGGGCCCACCTCCCCAAAGAGCATGGGCAGCAGCTCCCCCTGCTGGGAAGCAGAGAAGGAAGTGGGGACCTGAGCAAGCTCCCAGGGGACCCCACATCAGAGACGGCTTTTCTATCCTTCACAGCTGGTCGAGGCGCTTCTTTGGGGGAATTTCTCGTGAGCGGCCGACAAAGAGCCTGTGAGAGGTGGCAGGTGGCCACCAGAGCAGGCCGATGGCAGCCACAGCACTGCCAACTGTGCCTTCCAGGGGACAGAATTTCGGAAGGGAGAACTGGGTTTTACATAAAGCCTCATCAACCCTGTCACAGTTCACTTCAGAAACCCTTCCCCCAAACAGCCCACCAACTGCAACACCAATGGTCCCCCTCTGACCGTGACATGCTGCGCTCAAGGACCCCAAAGGTCTCCACGGCCTACTGAGCTCTTGTGCTTGGCACTCGGGGCCCTCCAGGGCAGCTGCCCTCCTCCAGGTGTCCCCTACCCTGGATCCCCCAGCACACACCCCCCATACACCTGCTCAAACCCCTTACAACCCGGCTGCAAGACCACTGCCCCTACGAAGCTGACCACCCCGCCCCGTCAGCAGGCAGTGGCTAACTCCCCGCTCAATCCCCACCTGCTCGTGAACGTCCATAGGACAATAACGCATTGTCCTGATCTGCTGCCACGTGCACAAGGCTCTTGTTCACTACAGGGTGCCAATGAGTGGGAAACTCGGGGGCTGCCTCTTACCAACGGAGCCCCTCACTGGTGTAGCTACTAGCTCTGAGCCTTGTCTATCTTGACAATAAAATGCTGGTCCCCACCCTCAAGTCATCTCAGACTCCAGCGTAAGGGACCACGGGGCCTCGGAGACACACTTCCAATCGCTCAAGGATGACTCTAACTCCGCAGTGGCCTCGAGGCCTTGAGGGGTGTTGCTGGAGGCGGCGGCTCACAGGGCAGGCCCTCTGTGGGATCTCGCATCACCGAAATGCGCCCCCAGAGCTGCAGCCTCTCCCTGGGGGCAGCTCGCAGCCAACGGGAAGGTACAAAGGCTCAGCCCCCCACCTCAGGTAGTCTGTCCACATGTCCGCTGCCCAGGCACCGTCTACTGGTGAGCATCCGGCTGCTGAAGGGCCGTTAGGGCTACCAGACCCCCTGGGAGGCTGTGAAGGGCCAGGTGAAAAGGGAACAGGAGCCCAAGCCAGTGCCACGGGCCCAGGACAGAAAGCAACCTTCCACTGCGACTCAGAGCCCGAACCTGCCCGTGTCCCTCGTCCCCACGTGCAGGGGGCCGACCACCAGACTGAAGGGCAGTCAGTGGCCTTCTAAGCCCCTAAAGCCATGGTCAACCTTGGGAAGGAAGAGGAGGCCGTGGAGAAGTAGAGACGGGAACTGGGAAGTACTCAGGAAATCAATGAAGTTGGGGAAGGCCATCTGATTGGGACTGAGGATTTACTTTCAGAGAAACAGGTGGCGTAACAGAGCATTCGAACAGTGCGACTCTTCAGGGTCTGGTGTGAGCTCTGCCAGCTCTGTGGGATTCTTACATTGAGCCTTCACTGTCTCCTAATCCAGGAGAAAGATGAAGACTCCTGACCTGCTTACTGGCCAGGGCGCCCAGGATAACACGAATGTGATTTTGTAAACTGAGGTGTTCTACCAACTGCAAAGCACCGGAGGTATGGGTGGATTATCACACATGAAGTCATTTCCTAAAACACATTTCCGTGTGGAACATCCTGGGAAGCCTGTCCCACAGCGAGCTGGTGTGGGCTGGGTCCCTGGAGCCTGCACTGCTGAACTGAGGAACACCCATGAAGGGCAGCGCCAGGGCAGAGAGCCAGCCCCAGCTCTGCCGTATTTTAAAATGTTCACCATTCACCCCAACATCATTCCTGGTCAGTTCTTCAAAGGAGAACTATACTCAGGAATAAAAACCTTGCGGTACACGTCAAGACGCGGGGCAAAACAAGCTTCAGAGACTCAGGGGTCATGACAGCCACCAGTGCTTTGTGTACCTGCAGGAGAAGGTGGGTCACTCAGGTGGGAGGACCCAGGCTCACCTGAAGATACTGGAAGCAGTTTTCCTGGGCTGCAAATATCCCTGCGAGGCGGAGTGAGAAGGAGAGGATTCTGGAACTTAGGTCCTGGGATTTCAGCACGTGGAACAGCAGCTCTACCAGGCAGGGATTTTCCTGTAGTAACAGGAGACTGGACCCTGGAGACAGGCCCAGCCGGGAAGCATGTTACCAGGGGCAGAGCGCATGCCTCCCTAAGGGACCATTCTTCTGGCACCCCCCAGATTCCCTTTCTCTCAGGCTATTAGACTCAGCAGTCCAACCGGGAGGAAATCGTTGCAACAACTGCCATAAAGGATCCATAACTTTAATTCAATGAGGGGGACAAAATAGAAAGCCAATACCTTAACAACAGGCAAGGGGCTGGGACAGAATATACAAGTGGCCAGCAAACCACGAAAGATATTCTGCCTTGCTGATTACGAAAAAGAAATGCAAATTAAAGCAGAGGACAATTTTCACCTCCAACAGATACTTTTCTCTTAAACTGAGAATAAGAAAGCAAGAAGCACAATGGAACAGGCATTCTTTTCCAGATGTGGCATCCAAAACGTCTATAGGCAACTGCTCTGTCATTCCAAAGCACTGACGGGGTGGGGGAGGCGAAGGGGGAGGAAACCTGGGGCAACACTGGGAGGGCTAACACTGGGAGGGCTTCCACTGCGAGGCCCTTGTGAAAGGACAATGAGGCACAGTAAGGAGGGAAAAACAGGGTGAAGGAGAGAGAAGCAAGAATCAAAGAAACCAAAAACATGTGGGCAAACCTAAAAAAGCACTGACTTTAAAAATTAAGTAATTTTGAAGGAGTTTAAAACAAAACAGAATCAAAATACCAGACAACAAAACACGGAAGGCTGGACTCAGCTGGAGTTAAAGTGCCCGAGGCTCCGTGTGTGGTTGGCGCAGAAGACAGAGATTCTAACTGACTTTCAACTTTTACAATCCAGTTTGCACGTAAGACTAACCCCTAAAAACATAAGTGGAATGCTTCAAAACTTCACTTCAAAACCAGAAAGACTGAAAAAACAAAAGCTTTATTAATCCAATGGGGGGGCAGAAAAGGAGATAAAAGGCATAAGAACAAGGCATGGAAAAAATATTTTAAATGCAAAAGAATATAATAAAAATAGGTTCAAATATAACAGTAAACTCAACAAATGAAACAAATGAAACTGTCCATTAGAATAAAGAGCTGTGCAGACTAGATCAAGAACCAAAGGCTAGCCTCACACTGTGTGTAAGAAACAATGAAGCGTGACAACACAGAAGGCCAGATTTGTAAAGGCTGAAAAGATACAGTTGGCAAATCCTAATTTTTAAAAAGCTGCTGCAGAAAGAGTAATATCAAACAAAACTGACTTTAAAGGAAAAAGCTCTGTCAGAGCTTTAGAAAGAAAGTCATTGCTCCAACAGCCAAACCCTGGAAAATATAACAGTCTAAGACTGTACATACCTAACCTAACTTCAAAATATACAAAGGGGGAAAAAAGACAGAATTTCAAACAGAAATTGTTGAATCCACCATCTTAGTTTAAGATTTTCACATATCTCTCAAAAACAATTAAGCAAACAAATTAGCAAGAACATCACAGGTTTTAACAACGTAAACTTGAACTAAGGAACAAGTATGGAGACTATATTCTTTTCATCATGTACAACACTGAGGAAAATACATACAGGCTTGGGGAGGAGGGAAGAGGTTAACTGCTAATGGACAGCAGGTTTCTTCTAAGGGGATGAAAATGTTGCAAAATTAACCTTTGGATGGTGGCAAAACTGTGTGAATTTACTAAAAACCACTGAATTACACACTTTAAATAGATCAATTTCATGATATGTAAATCATATCTCAAATAAAGCTATTTAAAAATAATTTTTAATAGAGTTACCATATGATCCAGCAATCCCATTCCTGGGCACATATCTGGAGAAAACCATAATTCGAAAAGATACATGCACCCCAAAATTCATCGCAGCACTATTTACAACATCCAAGACATGGAAGCCACCTAAGTGTCCAGTGACAGATATGGATAAAGATGTGGTATGTGTGTGTGTGTGTGTGTGTGTGTGTGTGTAGAATGGACTATCACTCAGCCATAAAAAAGGATGAAATAATGCCATTTGCAGCAACATGGATGAACCTAGAGATTATCATACTAAGTGAAGTAAGTCAGACAGACAAAGACAGATATTATATTACTTATATGTGGAATCTAAAAAAAAAATGATACAAATTAACTTATTTACAAAATAGAAACAGACTCACAGACACAGAAAACAAACTTATGGTTACTAAAGGGGAAGGGGGGGTATAAATTAGGAGTTTAGGATTAGCAGATACGAACTACTATATATAAAATAAACAACAAGGTTCTACTGTATAGCACAGGGAGTTAGAGTCAATATCTTGTAATAAACTATAACGGAAAAGACTCTGAAAGTGTATGTGTGTATATATACACAAAAAAAACAAATCGCTTTGCTGTACACCAGAAACTAACACAACACTGTAAATCAGCTATACTTCAATTAAAAAGATTTTTTTTTAATTTAACTACTAGGCCACGATTGAGGACTCTATAAATACCAAAAAATAATATCCTATAGAGAAATCTATAGAACATGTGCAAAAATGGTCTGTGTACTACGCCACGATAAAAGCCTCAACAGATATAAAAGAATCAAAATGAAATACTTTCTAACTCTAACGAAATAAATTAGAAATCAGTAATAAAAAGACTGAAAAAAACCCCATGTCATGAATCTAAAGATACCCTTTTACATATTGATGATTTGTGGATAAAGAAATATTATAATGAAAAGTATGAAATATTTGGAAGTAAATCACAACAAAAGCACCACATAGTAAGACTTGCAGGGTGCAGCTAAAGTGATACCTGCAGAGACATGTGTAGCCTTAAATGCATCTATTAGAAAACAAGACAGACCTAGATATTCAACTCAAAAGAGAGTAAAAGAACAGGATAAACCAAAGAAACAAACAGCAGAAACTTATGACATATAATCCACACGAAAACAATTATCAGACAAACATTTACATGAGCAGATTTACGTACAAAGAAAGCCATTATGTCGTTATTTATAATAATGACACATTAGAAACACAGACATCTAACAACAGTGGACTAACTGTAAAATTAACGTCCATTCACAGAGCAAACTGACATACAGTCAATAAAATCAACGTGTCAGTGGGGAAACACGCACTAGGACAGTAAGAGAAAAAGCAAGGTATGCTATATTTACGGTGTGACTTCATTTTTATAAGAGAAGTACAGAATTATGATGTGTTAAGAAAAAAGGCTGGAAAGAAAAAAATGTGCGGAGTGGTTTAATCTTCCTCTTTACTCCTCTGTGCTGTTCAAGTTTTATTTAAAGAATATGTATTACTTACATAATCAGAAAAAAAACCCGATTTCTTAATACAAAAAAAAACAAGGTAAGTTTGTCCCGTGGCCTCGGCAGCCACCTAGCGTGGCCTGAATACCGGGCGGCCTGCAGCTCAAGCTCTCCTGATCACCCCCTTAGGTTCAGCCTGCCGCGTCCCCAAAGCCAGGGGGAATCTCTAAGGATGAAGGAAGGACACCGGATAGACAGTCCTTCCCGAGGACAGGGGAGCCCGGCACCCTCTGGCCTCCGGGGAAAGTCAGCAGCGGCACCCTCACCCTTACCTGCTTCGGTTACCGCTGTAAACCAGTCCAGCAGCTTCTCCAAACAAGTGTCATCTGCCACAGGCTGCCCGGGGTCTGCCAGGACGGCACAGAGCGCAGGGAGGAGCCGGGAGCACTCTGGGTCCATGACGAGGCTGGGGCTCCTGCAAAGGCACTGTCAGGGCCAGACCCCGCCTGCCCTAGCCACAGGCATCCCCACGCCCGCCCAGGCCCCAGAACTCTCACCTCAGCCCAGGTGACCACAGTCTTCAGACGGAAGCTGCAAGTCGCCGGGATGGACGTAAAGCCTCAGCTCAGGTGGGACCGGAGGCTGTCAAGAGCAAGCAGAGCCCTCCATCCTGGCGGTGGAGATGGAGGGGAATCTACAGCACAGCATGAGGCCTGAGCAGCTCAGAGTCGGCCAGCCTGGGACCCTGGTGGGAGGAGAGAACGAAGGGAGCACGAAGCCGAGCGAGGCTGCAGGCGGGCCGGAGGGAGGGGCGTGTGCGCGCTCTGGGGCCGCCCACGTGCAGGAGGCAGAGCGGCTCAGGACGAGTTGTAAGTGGCTCAGTCCAGACTGGCGGTGTGTGTCTGTCCCTCCCAGGGTCAGTGTGAAAACCCTGCAGCAGCAGTGTGCGGGGCGCGGGGGCGGGAACCACCGCCGGTTCCTCCCGCGGCGGCAACTGGACCTGCGTGTCCGGCCTGGGAAGGGTCCACGGAGCCCGTCGGTCCTGTGCTCAGGTAGGGCTCTTGCAGGGGGGTGGAGTAGCAGTGACTCTGTGTGCCGGGTCAGGAGCAGGCCTGCTAGGCTGGGGCGTCTGTCTGTCCATCCCTGGCCAGGCTAAGTCCTTGCGCAAGGCGCCCTCCCTGTGGACCCCGCTGAGGACGCCAGGCCGGCGGCCGCGGTGGTGCCGGGGCCCAGCCCGGGCCACGCACGCGGCCCCCAGGCTGCTCTCCGGCCCCGAACCCCGACCCCGCGGGGCCCGCCACAGCGACCGCGACCCCTTCCCTGGCGCGCGCCTCACCCGCTTCACGTCCGTCACCGCTGCAGGCCCCGCCCCGTACCGTGCGACCTGCCGGGCTTGGAGGGGGCGAGGACGGGAACGGCGGGCGTGGGGAACCGTGAAATCGCCCTGGAGGTGACTCCGAGAGCCCAGAGGGCCCAGGCTCGGGGAACGAGCTCAGGCTGAGAAGGACAGGCCGCCGCCGAACGAATCCACTCACCCACCCCCAGCGGGACGCTCACAGGTACGTGCTCGAGGATCCGGCAAGCTTTGCGCCCGGAAGGCAGGGCTTTCGGCGGAAGGGGCGTGGCTATGTGTGAAGGGGCATGGCCTCGCCGGCCAAAGGGCCACGTGTCTGGGCGGGCAAGCGAAGCAAAGCGCCAGCTGCGTAGTAGACAGATCTTCCTCCGCTCGGAATGGAGTTTCATCCCGTTTGTAAGTCCAAAATGCATTTAATGCCCCTAAGCCACCCAACATCATAGCTTAGCGTAACCTACCTAAAACTTGCTCAGAACAATTCCATTAGCCTACAGTTGGGCAAAATCATCTAACTCAAAGCCTATTTTATAATAAACCGTTGAATATGTCATGTAATTGATGGAATACTGTACTGAAAGTGAAAAACAGGATGGTTGTCTGGGTACAGAATGGCTGTAAGTGGATGGTTTTTTACCCTTGTGATTGCGTGGTTGTCTGGGAGCTGCGGCTCGCCGCCGCAGCCCAGCGTCATGAGAAAGGATCCTACCTACCGCATATCGGCAGCATGGGAGAAGATCAAAATTCCAAATTTGAAGTACGGTTTCTACTGAATATGTATTGCTTTTGCAGCACTGTAAAGTCAAAACACTGTAAGTGGAAGCATGGAAATTCTGGAACCGTCTATAACTAAGAGAAAGTAAGTGAAACAACAGATGCAGGAAGGGCAGGGGATTTGCGGAGCCCCAGGAGAGGAGCAAGAGATACCGGCGCATAGGTAGGTTAGATCCTGAAAGCACTTGTCTGCCACGTGAACAATACCCCGAGGAAGCAGATGGAAGTTAAGAAGGTGAGAGGCCTGGTAAGATTCACCTTTTATACACAACTCTGGTGGCAGCTCAGAGGAGAGCATGTGGTTTCTTTTAGGATCCATCAGGGAAGGTGTAAATAGGGAACCAGAACTTGGGGTACAGACTGTACCTGACACCACTCCGGAAACAGGGCTTCACAGAGCAGAGGAGCGCCAGTGAGTGAAGGGGATAATTTCAGAACAAATAAAATTTTGCCATTTAAAATACCACTCAAGTAATTGGACCAGCGGCAAAGTGTTACCTGGTAGCTTGTTTTTTTGAGGTGCTCACCATGTGCCAGGCACCATGCTGAATTTTAGCTGTTTTCTCCTTTAGTGCCCACAAAAGCCCTGAAACTGTTTCTACTTTGCAGACAAGGAGACGATGGTGAAACTACTAAACCTGAGCTCCTGAGCACTAACCAGCTTGTGGGGAGACAGCGTCCGACCACCGTGTGGCTCACCCCCTTTGTTGTACAGATGAGGAGACTGAAGAAACGAGGGTCATGGACTCATAATAATCGGTGGTGTTAGAATTCGAACAGTCGTAACCTGCCAGGCATTCCTCCTGCTACACCACGCTACCCTGTGTGGAGACTCATTCATTTGTTCACCTCATAACAGTGTACTAACACTGTCACACTGCGCTCACTGTGGAACCGGCAACTGCACTAAGCAGTTTAGAGATACTGACTCATTTGATCCTCACCACAACGCTTTTCTCCAATTTCTACTTGAGGACCCAGGCACAGAGAAGTTATGACTTGCCGGGCACCAAATACCTATTGATTGAGCACCTGCTATGTGCCAGACCCTGATCCAAAGGAGAGAGATACAGCCGTGAACAAAACACAGCCCTGCCCCAGAGAGCTTACATGCTAGACATGGGAAGTTCCTGTAGATCATAAAGGCCAGGGGGCTGGAAAAATAAAGCAGGGCAGGGGGACAGAGTAGATGCCCTTGGAGGTCTGTATGAAAAGAAAGGGCAGGTTATACTTGCTAATAATTTAAATAAACTTTGCAGCCCAACTCACCTAAAGATCTTCATGATGCACACTGAATACAGTGAGTGCAAACTCTTATTTTTTATTGTCCTGTGGCTACATCAGAACCCTTGAGCCTAAGGTACCGAGATCAGGAAGATGGTTTTCCGAATGCCAGGCGTTCAGAGCTGGCAGACTGTGGACACCGCAGAAGCCCCTTGTCCCTTTCATCGTTAACCTAATAAATATTAATATCCGGCTCTGGTGACTAGTGCACAGGTTCACATTGCAGCCTCGTCGGCGGCTGGACTGTTCCAGCTCCGCCCCGCTCTCCGCCCCACACTCTGGGCGCGCAGCCTGTCGACCCGCCGGGGCTCCCCGAGCACGCTTACTGTCGGCCCGCCTCGCGGGGCGCCGGCCACATCCGGGGCTCGGGGGCCCGCGCGGTTGCCATGGCAGCGGGGTCGCGGCGGGCGCGCGGGCAGGCCCCGAGGCTGGCGGTCGGCGGAGCCCCAGAACCGGACGGCCGTACTCGCAGCGCCTAGGGGCGATCGGGCAGCGCCGCCGCCATGTCCCTGAGCACCGGGGAGCCGGCCTCGGAGATGGTAAGCGCGGAGGGCGGGGAGGCCCCCTGGCTGCCTCCCCTCGCCGAGGCGCGGGCTGGAGGAAGGGGGCGCAGGGCCGGCGACCGCCGGTGACAGCTGCCATTGTTGTTACCGCATAAGAGCGGGCCTCCGGCCCCCGCCCGCGTGCGGCTGGCCGGGCGTCGCCGCCCCTTGCCCAGCCTCCAGCCACCTCTAGTCCCCCGCTCGTCCTTGCACTGGCCGTCGCTTCCGGAAAGCCCTCCCGGACACTGCGCCCTCGCTGCTCGGCGCCTGCGAAGCCGGGCCTGTGCCGAGCCAGCGACCGCGGCCCGCCGGGTGACAGAGCTTACTGCGTAAGTGTCCGCCCACCCCGTGCCTCCAGGGCGGGGGACTTGGTTTACCTAGTGTTTCTGGCGCGCCAACCATCTGCTGGAGACATTATTGTGGATGAATAAACTGCATTCCAGTGGCATGGGGTGGGGTGGGGGAGAACAAGGTAAAAAAACAGATCATGTCCATCAAGTCAGAAAGTGGAAAGTGCGCTGCAGAAAATAAAACAGCCCATGTGACGGAGGTGGATTGGGGAGGCTGCTTTAGACTGGGTGCCAGGAACAGCCACTCTGAGAAGTTGGAGTGTCCTGATGTCACTGATGAGAAGGAGGCATTCTGGTAAAGATCAGAGACCAGTGGGACCAGCAGGTGCAAAGGTCCTGGGGTGGGAAAGTGCAGTGGTTCCAGAGCCTGAAAGAAAGCTTGCTGGGATCTCCTCAAGGGCATGGGTGTGGATGGAAGGGAGCCACGGGCCTGACCATGGAGAGCCTTGCAGGCCATGCACGGAGTTTGAATTTATTCGGGCCACAGTGGGAAGCCTTTGGAGGGCTCCAGACAAAGGGAACCTGGCTCACTTTGCTTCCTTCTCCCAGAGATGGCAGTACCCAGCATGGCTGTACAGAGCTGACCCCAAGCAGGGGCTCAGTGCTGCTGCCACTGGAGCTGCTGAAAGTTTCCTACTTGTCCCTCAAGGCACCAAGTCCTGCCTCATCTGGAAGGCCTGCCCGTCTACAGTGGCCTCAGTTACTGCTCCTTCAACTTCTCATGTTGTTATTATAAATGTTATTCATGCCCAGTAGAGAAAATCAATTACCCATAATCTAACTGCCTACAGAAAACCACAGTTAATGTTTGGTGTGTTTCCTTCCGACCTTTTTTCCGTGCATCTTTTTTTTTCATGTGCTTTTTAAAACTTGAGATCATTTTTATATTGTTTTGTAACCTTTGCCGTTTTATTTCTTCCTAGCATCTTCCCATATCCACACATTTTCAAAAACATGATTTTTAAAATTCTAACTTTTTATATATATATATATATATATAACTGAATCACTTTGCTGTACACCTGAAACTAACACAACATTGTAAATCAACTCTACTTCAATTTTTTAAAAAAAGAAATACATCAAAGACAAATACTGTATCATCTCACTTATATGTGGCATGTAAACAGCAAGCAGTTACCATATTGCACAGGGAACTCTATTCAATATCTTGTAATAACCTATAATGGAAAAGAATTTGAAAAAATATATGTCTGATATAACTGAATCCGTTTACTGTACACCTGAAACTAACACAATGCTGTAAATCAACTATACTTCAATTAAAAAAAAAAATTTTTTTTTAAACTCTAACGTGGGAATTCCCTGGCGGCCCAGTGGTTAAGGCTCCGTGCTTCCACTGCAGGGGGTACGGATTTGATCCCTGGTGGGGTAACTAAGATCTCGCCTGCCGTGTGGCGTGGCCTAAATAATAAATAAATATTCTCGACAATTATTACTCATGCAAACGTGGAAAGATAATATTTTTAAAAAATAAAATGCTAACCTAATAGGATAGCCCTATTTTAACTCTCCATTTCCTTGCTTTTACTCTTTTTTTAAATTTATTTATTTTATTTACATTTATTTTTGGCTGCATTGGGTCTTCATTGCTGCACGCGGGCTTTCTCTAGTTGCGGCGAGCAGGGGCTACTCTTCCTTGCGGTGCGAGGGCTTGTCATTCCGGTGGCTTTTCTTGTTGCTGAGCTCAGGCTCTAGAGCACAGGCTTCGCAGTTTAGGCGCACGGGCTTCGTTGCTCCGTGGCACGTGGGATCTTCCTGGACCAGGGCTCGAACCCGTGTCCTGTGCATTGGTAGGCAGGTTCTTAACCACTGCGCCACCAGGGAAGCTCACTTTTCCTCTCATGGTTTCATGTTTGTGCTGTTAGAAGCAATGCTGCTGTAAACGTTCTTGCACATAGAAGCGTTTGTTAAGCCCCTTATACATGCCGGCCTCTGAGGAGACAAAGACAAGCTGAGCCCCAGTGCCTTGGTCTCCAGGAACCCAGTCTGTGGAAGAGGCTGGGGCAGGGCTCTCCAGGCGTTTAGGAGACTCGCCGCCCTTGGCCCAGGCTAACTGGCAATTTCTCTGCTGAGCTTACGTCTGTTCTCAACCAGACAAGAACCTCCTGTGAACAGGCACTGTCCAGTCTGTCCAATCCCCCGAGTCCCTTGGAACACAGCCGCCTCTGGGCTTGCTCGTGAACCTCACAGAGCACTTACCGCGGTGCCAGGGAGACCACTGTGCCGTGGCCGTGAGCAGGCCCCGCTGGCCAGGGCAGAGCCACAGGGGTGAAGTGGAGCCTGGGCGTGGTCCCTGGTGATTTAAGGGCCAACGCTTCTTAAAGGGCTCACAGTTGCTAGAGCAAGATGATAAGAGCATTTACAGGGCAGGGCGTTTACTACTTGGAAGATTCTCTGTTCCCTGCTCTACGGCTCTGCCTGCGCTAGAAGCCTTTGTCCACCAGGTCCAGCATCTGGGCCCTTCAAAAGGAGTTTCTATTGCCTGCTCTTTCCCCCTGTATATTGGTCACACTTTCCTGTTTCCCTGTGTGTCTCGTCGTTTTTTGTTGAAAACTAGACGTTTAGATAACATATTACAGCAGCTCCTCCCCACGGGGTTGATGTGGTTTGCTCAGTCGTTCGTTTATGTGCTGAGTGACTTGGCCGAGCTAACGTGTGAAGTCGATTTCCCCGCACCGTGCAGCCTCTGTTTCCCTGCTCAGATTTTTTCTTGTTTAAATCTTTTAGCCCAACTACCTAGGGGTTACCCTTGGGTCAGCAGAAGCCACTTGTTGGTCAGAGGTTGTGTTTCACCCCCTGGGCCAGTCAGATTTTCGCCCTTGACCATTGAGTGGTATGTGTGTGTGTGTGTGTGTGCGTGTGTGTGTGTGTGTGTGTGTGTGTGTGTAGGCTGCTGTCACAGTTCAGGGGTTTACATCTTTGCCCACGCACAACGGGGAACTAGCGCATATGGGTTTTCCCTCTCCCATCTCTCCTGAGAGGGCGACCTTGGACATGCGTGTGGCTCTCTGGACTTCCGGGGGTGCCTGTCATTGTACTTTGAAGCCTGGCTTCCTGGGGTCTGCTCTTGGGTCAGGGTAGTTTCTCATTCAGCCAGGGTTTGTTCAGCAGCTGCGCCAAAGCCCCAGCACCACCAGGGCTCGCGCCCTTGGGTTGACGTGGGTGCAGCGTGGGGACAAGCCTGCTCTGACAGAGCACTCCAGGGCTTGCCAGCGGCCTCCCTGAGCCTCAGGGCTGACCGCGACCTCAGGAGGGCGCTCTGGGCTCTTCACCTTCCGGTTGCTCTGCCAGTGAGCTCTCTGCTGCGTGACCACGGAGCTGGGGGCCTCGGGATCGCTCCCCACTTTGTCTGCAACTTGGCAATGGAATCAGGGAGGCGTGCAATTCTCCACTCTCTGGTGCAAATGCAGTCAGTCCCCTCGGCACAGCCGTCGTCCTGCCTCTCCCTTTGGTGGAGGACCTCTGGGCCACTGCACAGCAGGGACAGCGCAGTGTTTCCCCGGAGTGACACTCCTTCTGGGCCTGCCCCTCCCTGCGTGGACCCTCTGCTCTACAAGCACAGGGGAAGTCTTCGCCTGCCGCCTCTGGGGTAGAGCTTACACCCTACTTCTGGGAGCTGGGGGCAGGGGATCCACCACCACCCCTGTTGTGTTGACTGCACCCGCCTGGAGGAGAGCTCTCTGGAATCCTTTCTATCAGATGGAGACGGGGAGCTGAGGGGTGCCTCTGACTCTCGACGTTCTTCCCTGGACTTAGTAGATTTTTCTGAATCAATTTTTCTCCATAGCTGTGTGCTTTTGTCAGTTTCCAGAAACTGCAAAAGATTGTTTCGTGGCTTCTTCTGTTAAAGGGTTGTTTGTTGAGGAGGGGGCCTTCCACGCTCTGGACGATGCCTCCTGGATGAATGCAGTCCTTCCCCGCTTTTACCATATACTAAGTCCCCGTATGTTCCTGCATCTCTTTCTGGACACTATGTCTTCTTTCCCCAGTGTTTTAGTTAGTATATATTTAATGCTTTAAAAATCCTGGTAGGAGAACATGTCCTCCCTGTCGACGAGGAAGCTGCGATGCGGAGGGGTGAGGGGCATGGCCACCATCACCACCCTGCGATTCCTGACTCACGGTGCATGAATGCAATCTCGTGTAGGAATGCGTGGCAGCTCAGATCGTACTTGGAGAAGGAAGAATGACTCGGCCGTTAACGTGCGCTTTTGTTTCTTTTTTTAATACCGTGTATGGTCTCTTTCATGCTGCCGACTGAGGGGTGGATCTTGGGCTGTTCTATGATTTCAGATACTTATATTTTGCTTGTTTAGTTCCTTCTGACTGGCAGGATGGAGGGTGGCAGAGTTTGAGGGGGACTGACTGGGGGGGAAGTGATGGTGTGGGTGAGCCCACCTATGAACACAGAGACCACTTTGCTGTGTTCACCACACACGTAACCTCACTCCCTCGTAGAAACTGCAGGTCCTTAAAAAGTTTTCAAGACTTTGTTCAGAACAAAGAATAGTGACAAGTATTCACAAAAGAAAGTCTTGCTACTTTTCTATGCAGTTGTTAACAGCTCACCTTCACGGTTGGCGGGCTGCCCTTTGTGATGCCAGGGGACGAAGACTGAGCCTTTGACTGGCTTTCCTGATCCTACATCGTGTGTATACCAGTTCCCTCCCTTCCCTGCCTCAATTTTGCACATCATTTCCATATACTAGGTTCAGTGAAAACTTTACAACTATCGTTTGCTATTTATACCTTAAAATGTCATCTGTTTAATGACATCAAAAAAGTAATTCAGTGGCTGATTTTTTAAAGATTCTGTTTGTTTGGAACGCACTACCTTCCCTTCGTCCCCCGAATCCAGTCCCTCTGCACCCTTACGCTGGACTCTCCTTGTTTAAGAGGCGCGCACCGGAAGGGTGCCCCCTGTGGCAGCTGCCCCCTGCCCGTGTGATTGTGCGACCCCACGTTTTTAGTAAAAGTTCAAGCGGCCAGCAGAATTGTTGCTAACGTACTGATAGTTAAGCTTGTAGACGATACACGTGCTTTCCAGAATGCAGTCCAGTCCCGCTGCAGCACTGCATGGACTCAGCTACGCTCCAGACGGCTCGCTGAAACGTAGTTACACCGCCACCCAGATATGGCATTATTGGTTCATAACGGGCGCATTCAGTCCTAACTTCAGTATCAGCGTTTTAGGTCAACTGTACAGGACGGTGGAGGGATTTTAGAAATTGTTCTGCTTTCTCTCCTTGTAGGGTTTAAACCTGAGTAAGTGTGTTAACACAGACACATCATTCTCTTGGGAAAGTTCCCTTTTCTCCTTGACATGCCAGTGTTGAGGTTAGTACAGATTTTATTTCACTCCCTGGGCCAGGGCAGATCACTGGAATCAGAAGGTAGGAACCTCCATACGCCCAAATAACTTGTGTACTGATGGATACGTGAATGACTGATTTGTTCTCACCAGGATGTAGTCACAGGTTCCTTGTGCTTTGATACAAAGATGAAATACTTTTATCAAGAACCGTTCGTTGGGGGAGGGATAAATTAGGAGTATGGGATTAACAGATACACGCTACTGTATATAAAATAGATAAACAACAAGGATTTACTGTGTAGCTCAGGGAACTATATTCAATATCTTGTAATAGCCTATAATGAAAAGAATCTGAAATATGTACATAGGTAACTGAATCACTGCTGTACAGCTGAAACTAACACAGTATTGTAAACCAACTATACTTCAATTAAATTAAAAAGAAAAGAAGTGTTTGTCAATTCTGTGGAGATGGTGTCGCTAGACTGACAGGCCTGGAGCAGCCCTGCCAGCAGAGTTTTGTGTTTTTTTGTTTTTTTTAAACATCTTTATTGGAGTATAATTGCTTTACAGTGGTGTGTTAGTTTCTGCTTTATAACAAAGTGAATCAGTTATACATATACATACGTTCCCATATCTCTTCCCTCTTGCGTCTCCCTCCCTCCCACGCCCCCATCCCACCTCGGTGGTTTGTGACCACCTAGAGGGGTGGGGCCAGCAGAGTTTTGTTCTGTGTCCCCACCTGTTCCTTCGGATGCGACGGGACAGACTGGCTGCTCCTGCCGTGGACGGATGCTCTGAGTTAGATGGGGGCTCTGCGGCCGCTCCCACTCTGTCAGGGTGACTGTGGAGCCAAGCTGGCGCCTGAAGCTTTCGCTGTTCGCATCTCTTCCTTCAGGGAGATGACAGCCTGTCTGCAATAACCTTCGACTCTGACTCAGAGACGGTGAGTGCGGGGCCGGGGGGGGGGGGGGGGGGGGGGGGGGGGGGGGGGGGGGCGTGGCGTGGCTGCGGTGCTCACACGCGGTGTCCCCACAAGTGCTGTGTTTAGCGCCCCATCACAAATTCCACATGCTGCTCCGAGTTTGAAAAGCTCCAGGCCCTCAGGTGGATTTGAATAACTTAGATGATAATTTTAAAACTTTTACCCAGAAGTTAGTCGTGAGCCGAGTACTTTTGAGGCTGATGACAAGTTCCCATCCTGCACCTGGTTTTGGCCTGCGCTCCCCCCAACCCCAGCCCCCCAGTCCTGACACGTAACGGCGGGGGGGCGGGGGACGGGAGCAGAGCTCCGTGATGCAGTCGGAGGCTGAGGTGTGAGAAAGGAGACCTTGGCAGGTGCTCGCCTCCCAGCAGACAAATTCTAGCCTAACCACAGCACGGAGCCCTGGGGGAAGGCGGCCCCAGCACGTCCCACCGCAGCTCTGGGGACTCCAGGGGTGGCATCCTGGGCCTGTTGTCTGAGGCGCAGGACCTCCGCAGAGCTAAGAGTGTTCCCTCCACGCCACTGAGGGCACGGGCCCAAGATGCTCCCGGGAGGAGGAGGGATCGGGAGCAATCTCCTGGGGGAAAGTCAGCCTGCACGGAGCACTTCAGTGTTCCCGCTGGCAGGGAAGTAAGTGGGGTTCTGTGTCCAGCGTGAAGCAGATTGGGGAGGAAGGCATGGAAGGGGCCCCCGGGCTCCAGGCGGGCCACTCCTACTGCACCTTCCCCTCTGCCTCACTCTCAGGTTTCATCTTGCTGAGTCCCGCCTGCGGACAGTCACACCCCCGTGCTCCAGGGGGGGCGTGGGGACGGCTGGTGGTACCTTCAGGGCGGATTTGAGGCGGGACACCTCCGTCTCTGCTGGACGCAGGCCGGGCTGCTGCTCCTGCGTCTGGGGGCGCCTCCCTGTGCCCTGTGCCCTCCTTTGCGTGCACTCTGCTTCGGCCAGTTAATCTGCCGCCCCCGCCCATCCTGAACACCCCGGTGCTTCCTGGTTGGGACCATTGGGCTGCTCGAGAAGGCTCAACCCGCTTTCCGTCGTTTCTTCTTCCTTTCAGAAAGCGAAAAGGAAAAGTTTCCACAGACCTCCCCCTACATCACCGAGTAAGTATGACCAGGGCCCCGTCCCTCAAGTTTCCACAGTTTAACTCAGAAAATGGTGGTTGGAAGCCCTCCTTCCCCAGCGTCCTGCGAGGAAGATCAGGACCGCCTTCTTCTCTGAACCCTTAGGGCCACTGAGGCAGGGCCCGCGAGGGCTGAGGTCCCGAGCTGTCACTGTCCCATTGAGCCCCCCTCCTCCCTCCCACACACACAGTGCTTCGCGGCCTTTCACGTTCTCTTTCTCAAGTCGCCATGCGCTTCCCAGCGCTGCCAAAGGGAAGACAACGCAGGATTTATTCCTCGAGACACAAAGCTGTTCATCTGGGTGCTTTGCTGAATTTTATGTTTCCCGAGGCCTTTGTGACAAACCAAATCCTAGATTGGCTTCCTTCTGCTGCGCACAAGCCTGTGGCCTTGCCTGACTTATTATCTATGCGTGTGTGTACCATATGCGTAGGCTTACGTTTCTTATATACATAAGTATTTGAAACATACTGTCTTATATATGACACACTCAGAGAATACAAGTGAACTTTCATATTAGCCCAGGAACCACATAATCAGAAAGATAGATTCCTGCAAAGAGAAGAAAGTATGTTTCATATCACAAACAAATACGAGTGTTAGAAAGAAGCATCTGGCAATCTGGAGTTTGGAGGTCCCGGCTCTCCTTCCGTGGAGAAAATTGAGAATTGATATAAAGTGAAAGTATGGGTGTTTGTGTTTTAAACCTTCTCTTTTCAGCCCATTTTGTTTCACTCCTTCTTGTCTAGAAAGTACCTAAGGTAAATGTCAGACATCTCTCATTATTCTTGCTGGAAATCAAGCATTTCAAGTGTTGAAAATGCTAGTAACCAAATTACTCTTATCTCGATTTCTGTAAATGTCAGAATTGTGTTTCACGTAATTTAGGATGGCCAGAACCCCCGAAGCATTAAAACCCCCTGAGAGGTGTGCTGTCACTCAGTGGCCCTGCCCCTGCCCGCCCCCCAGCGTGCTCTCCCCCGGCCATGCCTGACGCCTGTCCCCGCAGCAGCGCTGATCCCAGGCACCTTGCTCATCCAACATGGACACTGCGACAGGACGCTCTGTGTCCCCTCCCTGGGACACCCCCAGCCCGCCCTCCTAACACTCCCTTAAGAGGTGTGCGCCTGTCTGATTTCCGGGCCGTGACAGGAGGAGTCATGCCTGTCCTGTTCACTTCATGAGTGGTTCTCTTCACTGCCCAGTCCGGGGCCACGTGGGTTTGCAGCTACCCGCGCTCTGAGATTTTCGGGCTTCACAGCGCTCCGGGGAGGCCGGGGCGGGCGGCCAGTTTCCGGTCCTTCCACACCGACAGGTTTCCACCGCCTGCTGCCTTTTTTCTTCTTCCTTCGCAGCTCTATCCATAGGCGTACATGTTTGGGAATCCTTACTACTTATCGATAAATCCCATACATTTAGGAGGGAAATGTCGTTTGTGGGTTTTTTCCGATCGCTAATTTACCTTCATAAATGAGCACTCCAATGTGTCTTTACTCCTTCACCCTAAACAATAATGGGAAATTTTCCATAAATTCTGAAGCCATGGAAAAATCTTAGAAATTTTAAAAATTAAATGTATTAGATTTAGAATCCCAGGACCTTCTACAGATATAAATTTCTTTGGTATTTAAGAAATATAAGCATATTTTATGAATAGCTTGGTTTTGCATAAGTTTGCATAATCTCCATAAGATTCCAGATTAAAATATAATTTTAAAACCTTTCCGTTGTTTTGATGACAAAATCAAAAATGCCCTGGAAAAATATAATTTTTTCCTCATTTCTTCTAGCCGTTTTACATATCAAGTTCTAAATATTATTACTTGCACGCTATGTATTGACAGCAACATGAAAAAATATTTACAGTGTTAAGTATAAAGGATACAAAATTGTGTGTTTACTATGACTGCAGCTATATAAAAATACATATGCCTCTGAAAAAATTGAATGGGAAATTAAGTACTGTAATATTGGTAGAATTTTAGATTCATATTTTAAAATAAATGTCCCGTTATTTCTCTATAATAAAAAGTAAAAAACAAATGTAAGTATACCTACCAGTCATAACTATAGTTTTAATTTTGTCGGAATGTGTTCATCTGGGGTTGTCATGCCCTTGGGAATGTTTTGCTTTACCATTTCTGTCTCTCTGAAGCACGTATGTTGAGCGGGCATTGATACCTTGCACCTCTAAAACCACACGTTGGCTTTTCAGAGTCACCTTATCACTCTAAGCCACGAAAAGTGGCCTCCTGGAGGTCCCTGAGGACAGCCGGCAGCGCGCCTCTCGGGAGCCAAATGTCCTTAACCCCCCAGAAGCTGTGGCTGGGAAGCTCAAAGCAAGGTATGTGGTCGCCCGGGAGAAACCCTTCCTGCTCGAGGGGAGCGTCTTAGAAATCTCGGGTGGTGACCTGGCACAGAGCGTTTAATACGACTCGTTGGAGCCGCACTGTTTTTGATCTTCTCAAAGACATCGCGCCCCACGGCTTTTACGCAGCATGTGGTGTGGCTCCTGACGTTTGCCGCCTGGGTCCTGGCTTGTCTGGGCACTGCGGGAAGTCGTGTGTTGGAGCTGCTCCTGCTGGCTTGAGGAGTTGTGTGAGCTGTCCCGTGTCACACCGGCAGCTTGAGATTGGGTGTGCCGGGGATACGCACACCGCGGGAGTGGGCAAACGCCACACGTCAGGGCTTTGTTTGTTTTGCGGGCCGGTGGCTGGACGTTTCTCACACACCACTGGTCTCCCTAAGCTTTCTTCAACCCTGAAGACTGATTATTAGAGGCAGCGCCTTACATTGTCTCTGCTTGTACCTGTCATATTAAATCCATGCACGTTGAAACCAGCAAGTCTGACCCCAGCCCTGAAATCAGACCTCACCTTGGAGCATGCATGGACCAACAGCCCCCCCCAGCAGCACCCCTGACGATTTGACCGAAGCGGAAAGAATGCAGAGGTCAAATCTCAGGCGTTCTGCCAGCCACGGTGAGCACGTTGATGGTGACACAGCCACGACTGAGGAACAGCAGAGCGGAAGGGCATGGGGATTGGTGGGTGTGCTCTGACAGTGAGATCTGAGGCTCCCTCAGTCAGAGTGTCCTGAGGACAGTGGCCCCTGAAAGTCCATCCTGCCCTCCTAGAAAGCGGCTTTCCCGATGTGGACAGAGACATCGTCCCGGGCTTCAGTGGTGCCTATCTCCCTAAACTTAGAGTTGTATTTAAATTTGTTGTATAAACAATCTCAGAAATGAGAACTGCAAGGATAATAAAAACCCCAGATGTCACCAGAAAGAATCGGTTGGTTTTCATGTTTCCGTCTTCCTGTCTGATCTTACCCACGTGCTTCCTCCCTCCTTTACTGCTTTGCTTGTCAGCCCTGGCCCCGTGGGAAGCACAGAGGAACCTTGTCCTGGTGCCAGGGATGGTCACCTTGCCGCACTGCTAGCTGGCAGCGCTGTTTCAGGCTGGTGTGTTTCAGAGTCCTGACCCCTTAGGGATCACATGGAAGCAGAGAGCAGTGTACACTGTACCTACCGTTAGACATCGGACTGGGTGCTGTCACCTGCGTGATGACATGACCACGTTTGTTTTTGTTTGTCTTTTTATCTGTTTGCTGTTTAAAATCTAAAGACAGCACTTCTCCTTTTGACCCCCTCCGTTAATCCTTTTACTATAATTAAGCCCCGTGTTCACATCTTTTAGTTTTCTCTTGCTTCTTCTTTCTATATCAATACCGGTTTTGGTTTCCTTACTTCTGGGGAAAGAAGTTAAAACAAGAAAAAAAAAAAAAAAAAATAATTTCATTAACCTCCAGGTTTCCCTTAAGGTGTGGCCAAGAATTCCTTCTACTTTGCAGACAGTCTTTTCAGAGGGTTGTGTGTCTCCCTGCAGGTTATGTTCCTGGGACCCCTGTCTACAGAGAGATGGAGGGCATGTATGACGAGATCATTGAGCTGAAGAAGGTAGCGTTTCCCTCTGTTCTCTGTTGACTTTAAGCGGGAAAGCCCTCGGTAACGTGGATGGAAAGTCACACCTGTGCTGGGATGTGTCACGTGGGAAATAGGAGCCGTAGAGTGACAGCTGAGTTTAAACCCCGGCCCGGTGCCTGAGCAGCTGGGCGGCACTGGCTCACGGAGAGGGCCTCGAGCCCGCTGTGAGAGGAGCCTGGACAGCAGTTAGAGCCCGCCGTGCTCTGCTTCTCCGGCCCCCACGGTGGACAGCACCCGGGGAGGTCTAGATTAACTCCAGTCCCTCTGCGCCCTGAGACTTGGCCTTATGATAGGTCTTTTGGTGTTATTATTATCAATAACTTCCCGTTTGCATAATTCTTTGGTGTTAAGGGCATTTCACAGGCCTGATCTCAGTTGATGTCCACAAGGGCCCCAAGAGATATAGGTCATAGCCTTGAGATTCAGAGAGGTGAGTAGTCTCTCCAAGGTTAACCAGTAGTAGCACCAGGATTTCCATCAAGGTCACCTGCCACCCGTTCCCTAAGGCACAAACTGTACTGCAGTAAATGACATCATCCTCACCTGCTTCACCGTCACCGCTACACCAAACCGGTCTTTAACAGCCGCACATATTCTTGTGCCGCTGGAGAAACAACTGGGCTTCCTTTCCTTCCGTCACGTGAGTCTGTTCACAGACCCGACGTCCCGACCCCACCCCTGCCCCGCCAGCTGAGCCCCGTCCGGCGGGCTGTGATCGGTCTGGGCAGCGTTAAGCAGGGCGTTGGCAGCCAGCGTGCCCAGAGCACGTGAGGAGTCTAGAAGCCATCTCGCCTGAGGGGCACCGGGCCAGGGCCCGTGGACGGGACCCAGCCCTCACCCGCGGGAGCTGCACAGCAGTGCAGGGCCCGCCCGATGAGTCAGGACGTCCCTGTCCAGAGATGTGTTAAGTGAATCGGGCACCGCAGGGAGGGTTGCTACCTTGGTGAGGGGACCGTACCGCGTGAGCTCTGAGAGCCCTGAACAATCGCCGCAGCAACACTCTCAGGAGGAACCTGCCTGGGGCCAGAAATGGGTCTCTGGGTAAAATGATGCTAACGTCACTCAGACTAAATAAGCCGAGCTTCTCTTCAGAGAGGAGAGACTTTTATCTTCAAGACTCTGTCGCTCTGGCAGCTGGGGCATCAGGGTAGTTTTTCTCGGGCAGGTAATGCCTCAGTTTCCTGTAGAAAAACGGGGATAATCATAATACAATTTCATAGGGTTTTGTGAGGATTCGATAAAATGGTCCACGAAGGGGCTTTGGTACAGGGCTTGTAGCTGTGCTGAGCACGAGGAATAGGGAAAAGGGAGGGCACTTTTCTGGAATCCATATTTCTGGAAGCAGAATTCCCGGTATTGGATTTCTTGTCTTTCCCAGTGACCGTACATTAATTGACTAATTCACTAAACACTTGTGAGGGCCAGTATCTCTCCTGCCGGCTGTGGCCATGTGGCCGACTCCCCAGGCTTCCCTCAGTGGGACGCACACTGGGTTGGAATTGCCCTTCCAGTGCTGGGGGCTGGCTGTGTTCAGACACTTCGGACTCTCTTCTGAGCACTACGAGTCCCTTGAAAGGAGAAGGGCTTCTCCAGGATAACTGGCTAATTTGGGGGCAGGCTGGTGCTGGAAGCTGGTTAACCACGGAACTAGCTGACCCGCGTGGGCATTTCCAGATGAGGCTTACGAGCACTGGCTTAACCTTACGCTTTTCAGGCTGTGGGGCTTCCCGGACTAGGGAAAAGCTTTTTCAAGTGAGGACGTTGAAAACAAACTTTAAAAATACCCTACCATCACCATTTCATAAAAGAACTATATATGTCCGAAATAATAGGAAGGGCATAATTTCAAAATACAGGAGAGTGGTAAAAATTGAATAAACTTAGTTTTATGGGGCTTCCCTGGTGGCACAGTGGTTGAGAGTCTGCCTGCCGGTGCAGGGGATGCGCGTTCGTGCCCCGGTCCGGGAAGATCTCACATGCCGCGGAGCGGCTGGGCCCGTGAGCCATGGCCGCTGAGCCTGCGCGTCTGGAGCCTGTGCTCCGTAACGGGAGAGGCCACAGCAGTGAGAGGCCTGCGTACCGCAAAAAAAAAAAAAAACAAAAAAAAACTTAGTTTTATGAAAAACTGACAGTCTTCCCTCTAAGTTCACCCCAGACTGGTGAAAAGTTCATCCACAGGTAAATGTTTGGGAACCACTGCTCTGACCAACTGAGCCTTAGTTGAGGATAAGAATTTTAAATGGACATAAGACTGTGATAGTATGTGGTGTGTGAGGAACATGGGCTTTGTCACACGGACATGGAGGAGAGCATGTCACATGGGCACCTTCCAGAAGTGCTGCTGGCAGTATCGATTGGGCGAGCAGCGTTTGTCTGTGGCAGGGGTGCTGCTGGCATTGTGTGGGGCAGAGTTCCTAGTTGCCTGGGTAGCCCTGCACCTAACGGGGCATTTACCCCCTGGCCCAGCCTTCACTGTGACGTCCAGACCTCCCTCACCCACTGCACACGCAAAGCCCTGATTGGGAACCAGGAAGCTTGTAAAACACCTCTCCAACTCAGTGTTTCACCAGGATGTGTGTGTGTGTGTGTGTGTGTGTGTGTGTGTGTGTGTGTGTGTGTGTGTGTGTGTGTGTGTGGTCCTTCTTTCCTTCAGTCATTACACGTGCACAAAAGCAACATGGATCTGATGAGAACAAAGCTTCGGCGCTTAGAAGAGGAAAACAGCAGAAAGGACCGGCAGATAGAGCAGCTTTTGGATCCTTCCCGAGTAAGTTCCTGGCCCTGCACGGCGGTGCCCCGAGGCAGGCGTGGGGCGTGGCCAACGCGGGGGCGGGGGGGCGTGGCTAGACCACGTCTTGTCTTCATTCCTCAATCTGCTTCCCACAGGGCCCGGATTTTGTTCGGACTCTGGCAGAGAAAAGGCCTGATACTGGCTGGGTGAGTATAATCTCCAGCAAAACAGGTAACCTGTCCACTGAAACCTTACCTTCCAAACAGCCTGTAGAGAGATGCCTTTTCTCTACAGCACTCATACCAGAGGAGGAGCAGATTCGGGGAAGGGCTCGGGACCTCCTGAAACCCTACTCCACGGAGCCGTAGGGATTACAAGAAGATGCTGGGGGGCTCTCAGTGGGAGTGGGAGGGAGGCTGAGCAGGCTTAGCACAAAGGCCGGACATATACTGTAGAAGAAGGTAGTCACAGTGGGGGACTTAGCCCGCCACACCTAAGAAACACACGTCAGGCTTAACAAGTGATACTGATTTAAGACAGAGAAACAAAGCAGAAACAGAATTAGACCTTAAAACACATACAAACCCCTCTTGTGTGTTATGTAATAATACATAACAGATTGAATGAAACAAAATTATGGCAAATGGAGCCAGTATGATGAATGCTATGGCAATAAACGATAGCAGTTGGAGAAAAATGTATCACAATAAACCTCACATGAGTCAAGGAAGTACATTTTTTAAAAAAACCTGATATGCTAAAAGAAAACTGGAAAGGATCCAATTCTGAGATTATTGAACACAAAAATCACATTAATGATGCAATTAATAATGGGTTTGATAACATAAACTTAAAATTTATAATAAAAAGGGCTTCCCTGGTGGCGCAGTGGTTGAGAGTCCGCCTGCTGATGCGGGGGACACGGGTTCGTGCCCCGGTCCGGGAAGATCCCACATGCCGCGGAGCGGCTGGGCCCGTGAGCCATGGCCGCTGAGCCTGTGCGTCCAGAGCCTGTGCTCCGCAACGGGAGAGGCCACAACAGTGAGAGGCCCGCGTACCGCCAAAAAAAAAGAAATACTTGCCCGTGTGCACAAGGAGGACCGGCCGGGAGTTTCTGTAATAGCAAGAGTGGGTTACAAATTAAGCATCTATCAGTAGAGGAACGGGTAACTAGAATAACATCGATCTGTAGGAACTAGTGGGGACAGATCACCAAGACGGCCTATTGAGTGAAAAGCACAAGCTGCAGAATGACGGGGTGGGGGGGCACCATTTGTGTAAACAACAGCAAAATGCCAGACTTTCAGGGGCTGTGCACACATGTGTGCGTGTGTAATAAGGCCTAGAGAATGCACAGGAAGTTGATAACAGTATTTAGTTGACAGGGGTCAGCTCCAAGGGTATAGTGTCATCTATAATTTTTTTCAAGAAAATGTATTCATGTATTACTAGTATAATTAAAAATTACCGTAAAATCCAGTTAAAAAGTTGTTTGACTCTTCAGAAAGAAAGAAAGGGATGTTCTTTCGGGAGTACAGGGTGTTATCTCCCAAAGTGTCCCATGAACAGAGAACAGGAGGCATAGAGACGGAAGGGCATCTCAAGGCCTCTGTCCAGCTGCCCGGCCTCCTCCAGGCCCGCTCCCTCCCAGGGGCGTGCTGGGGACCGGGGTGTCCTGGGCGGGCTAGGCTTGGTGAGTTTTGCATCCAGGGACTGAGGTGGCTTCCTCGAAGGTAACCGTGCAGCGGCCTGTCCTTCCTCCAGAGGGTGGCTGTGGAATGGGATGGAGGGGACGGCGGCACCTTTTGAGTGGGAGCATCCCCTGTGGCCCCACTCACCGGCCCCTCTGCTCTGAGCGGGCAGGACAGCCTGGCCCTGTCTCTCCAGCTGAGTCTAGAAGAGATGCCAGCACTGATGGGGAGGACAGCTAAGTAGGAAGGCGCTCTGGCAGGAGGCTGTGCAGGTGCTGCCGGGTCAGCGGGCCGGGGACACCCAACCCCGCCCAGGGAATGGGGCCGGCTGAGCCCCTGGCGGGAGGGGGAGGGCGAGGCCATGGCCGCAGAGACGTCAGCTTGACGCGTCCTGTTGCCTTGGCAGGTGATCAGTGGGCTGAAGCAGAGGATTCTCAAGCTGGAGCAGCAGTGCAAGGAGAAGAACCACACCATCGAGTACGGAGCCTTGGGGGGCCGGCCGGGGTCGGGGGGTGGCCCAGGCTCGGGAGGGGCCCGCTGGGCGCGCACCTGGCCTGCCTCCGGCTCCACGTCCACACTCGCTGTGCCCTCAGCTCCAGCTTCCGTTCCCACCCTGCCCCCACGTCTGTGTCCAGCATCGCCGTTCACCAAAACGGGACCGTGAACAGCCGCGCCTCTTCCATCCGACCCTAAGGAGCAGTGTTCCCCTTTCCTCTTTTCTTGTTCCTGTTCCACTGAAGAAGTGCTTTCTCTCCTTAGTCTTCTGTGGTCACTTTTCATCTCCAAGATGAACTGTATAGACCTTGATACAAGCCGTTAACGCTTGGTCATCTCCCCTACCTGCTTCTCTCGCTGTCACGCACTATCCTGGTGCTGTTTTTTTTTTTTATTTTTTTATTTTGCGGTACGCGGGCCTCTCACTGTTGTGGCCTCTCCCACTGCGGAGCACAGGCTCCGGACGCGCAGGCTCAGCGGCCATGGCTCCCGGGCCCAGCCGCTCCGCGGCATGTGGGATCTTCCCGGACCGGGGCACGAACCCGTGTCCCCTGCATCGGCAGGCGGACTCTCAACCACTGCGCCACCAGGGAAGCCCCCCAGTGCTGTTTTTAGGGCAGCAGCGCGGACTCCTTTCCTGCTGTTTTATCACAGAGGAGAGCCTTTCCTAGCTGTGTTTGAGTTTACTTAAGGAAATCTGAGTTTTCACTTTCTGTTGTATCCTCTTTAAACAGTAGAACCCCCCTCCTTTGTTTCTTGCTGGAATCGTCAACTTTAAAATTTTTATCATTTGCCGATTTCTTCTGTGTCTCAGAATCCTGAACTCTGTAACTTTACTTTCATTTCTCTGTTAGAGCCTTTTCCCTGAAGTCTGTTAAGTGTTGAGAGCAAGGGGAATTATACAGGCAATACAACTTGAAAAAAATGATTCTCTTTCCTTTAAAGAACCATTCCCTCCACCTTCCCCAAAGATGACTCTTCCCGTCTAACCCTGAGGTCTTTCTTCACAATTACTGCGGTTTTTAAAGACAGGCCCTTGTTAGCAAAGAATACCTGCTGGGGGTCGGTTACCTCACCCTGGACAGGGGCAGGTCCAACGAGGAAGGGTCCTGTAGGTGCGAGAATTCTCTCCTCGGCCTTGTGCAAGGCCACGGCCAGCTGAGGGCCGGCTCAGGCTTCGCTTCCCAGCCCGGTTCTCTTCCAAAGCCCATCCTTCTCCCTGTTCCGGGAAACAGGCTTCCTCTTGCTCTGCCCGAGAATGCTGGCACTGCCATGTCAACTCTGAACTTGGGTTTTTAGCAAACTGCAGACTGATATGAAGACCACTAACTTGGAGGAGATGAGGATCGCCATGGAGACGTATTACGAGGAGGTGCGTGCCCTCCTGCCCCGGGGCGGGGGGCGGGGTCGGAGGGTGGGGGGCCAGCTGCACTGAGGGGCCCTCTTCTAGTTCATCTTAACTTGAACACAAATCAGCAACTTAGCGCTCACTTCCTGCCACTGGGCGGAAGTCAGGAATCACTGCCGTTTTTTCGTTTTGTATTAAATGCATTTTAATTTGGTGTTTACAGATTCATCGTCTCCAGACGCTCCTGGCAAGTTCTGAAACGACAGGAAAGAAGTATGATCCTCTCCTTGGGAGCCATGTTTCATGTGTTGTTTTCATGTTAAACTGCTGTCAGAGCAGGGTAGGCCTTATGTGGGGCCTGCAGACACTGCCCTGACTTGGGAGCCTGCGCCCGTGTTACTCATGGTTAGAGCTGGCGCGTTTCCCTTTGGGATGTTACAGATGTGCCCCCACAGTTGCCATGTGTTGCCCACTAACAGCACAGTCGGTGCTGTGGGCTCTCATTGTTCGTACTACTTCACAGCTTCCAGCTTAGACTTAGAAAACACTATTTTTCAAGGCAGATCTTCCTTTTCGGAAGACATTTAGTACCAAGTACAAGTTCATCTTGCCAAATAAGTTTATTAGGAGAGACATCAAAGTTTCCTTATCTCGTGGATTTTCCCTTGTCCCTTTCCCAGGTGATATCAGGCTTTCAACAAATTAGGAAAGGAGGGATCCCTTATCTTAGATTTGGTTGTGTCACCAGCCTCTGCAGTGAATTACTGACATTTATTGAGCATTTACAATGTGCCAGGCATGGTCTTCCCTTTTTCTCCTTTCCTCCTAGTAGTTTAAAATGAGGGCTGGTCGGGACTTCCCTGGTGGCGCAGTGGTTAAGAATCTGCCTGCCAGTGCAGGGGACACGGGTTCGATCCCCGCTCTGGGAAGATCCCACGTGCCGAGGAGCAGCTAAGCCCGTGAGCCATGGCCGCTGAGCCTGCGCTCTAGAGCCCGTGCGCCACAAATACTGAGCCCACGTGCCACAACTACTGAAGCCCGCGTGCCTAGAGCCCGTGCTCTGCAACAAGAGAAGCCACCGCAGTGAGAAGCCTGCGCGCCGCAACAAAGAGTAGCCCCCTCTTGCCGCAACTAGAGAAAGCCCCGCATGGAGCAACGAAGACCCAATGCAGCCAAAAATAAATTAATTAAATAAAATAAAATAGGGGTGGCAAACTTTCTGTAAAGGGCCAGAGGAGTCGATTCCCATTATTCACAGTGTTATGTTCTGTAAAGTGTCCACGAACACTGAATTGGGAAATGCTGAACCAGTGCTTCTAGGGGAAGCACGGAGTTCTGTTCCTGAGACCCTCTGGTCACAGCTTTCCCATCACCTGACCGGCATACAACCCGCCTTCATGTGTGTTTCCGTTTAAAGGCACCTTATTTAGTGTCCGTTCTTAGCACTGAACTCTTGACCAACCGCGCCGTGACTCAGGCCTGAACGAAGCTCTGACACGTGTGGTTCCTCCCTGAGCTGTGTCACAGCCTCCTAGCAAGTAAGAACTATGCTGCAGGGGACCGCTGAGAGCGGCGAAATCAACAGAAGGCACAAAGACGAGAAAAGACCTCGAAATCCACCCTGTGGATAGGGCGAGACCTGAGACCAGATGCGGATGGCGCTTGTCCCCCCAGCCGGGAGTGAGCCCGCCTGCAACTCAGACCCACAGACTGACCGCAGAGGCACCACAGGCATCGATTTGGGAGTTACAGATACGTTTTAGTGAGTAGGCGAATTTGCAAATATGGATTCTGTGAATAAAGGGGATTGACTGTATTTTAGACTCATTTTGCGGAATAAAAGGCAAGATCAAAACTACCATCTAAGGGGCTTCCCTGGTGGCGCAGTGGTTGAGAATCTGCTGGCTAATGCAGGGGACACGGGTTCGAGCCCTGGTCTGGGAGGATCCCACATGCCGCGGAGCGACTAGGCCCGTGAGCCACAACTACTGAGCCTGCGCGTCTGCAGCCTGTGCTCCGCAACAAGAGAGGCTGCAACAGTGAGAGGCCTGCGCACCACGATGAAGAGTGGCCCCTGCTTGCCACAACTAGAGAAAGCCCTCGCAAAGAAAAGAAGATCCAAACAGCAAAAATTTTTAAAAATTTAAAAATTAATAAAACTCCTACCCCCAACATCTTAAAAAAAAAAAAAAACAAACTATTATCTAAGTATTTACAGAACAACAGAGAAAGTAAATGTCCACAAGTTCCTTAGTGGTCCTGTTTAATGTCCATTGCTAATGACTGAACACAGTATTTCGTTACACAGCCTCGCTGATGAGAGGAGCGGATAGCAGTCTGCTTGTCTGGGCTTCAGAGTTAGTGTTCCCTGTTCAATCGCAAACGTTCATCGGCAGAAACCACGCTGAGCGCCCAGGCCGCCTAGCGCCCACCCCTCACTCAGGACGCGTAGTAAACCAGTTCAGGCACCAAACCTTAGCCGCTTGGTCTCGTTCCTCCTAGGCCTCCAGTGGAGAAGAACGTCGGCCTTAAAAGGCAGAAAAGAATGAGCAGCGCCCTCCTGAGCTTGTCCCGGAGCGTCCAGGAGCTCACGGAGGAGAACCAGAGCCTGAAGGAGGACCTGGACCGCGTGCTGAGCGACTCCCCCACTGTCTCCAAGATAAAGGGTACCTGCTCCCCAGAGCCGCCAAGGGGGGAGGCGGGGCTGGGGACGCCAGGAGGGGCCCCAGGACGCGGGCGGCTGCGGCCGCAGGGGAGTCGTAGCCCTCCTTCCCCCGCGCACCCCGGGCAGCGCTGCTCCAAGGTGTGTTCCAAAGCGGTGGCAGCCTGCTGAGCGCCAGGCGCCGCTCTAGACACAGAGCTAGAGCAGTGAAGGCGCTCTTGCTAAGACGAAAAGCCAGCAGGTCAGATGCCGGCCAATGGTAAGAGCGCGGGTCAGGGGGCCGCAGGGGGGGGGGGGGGGGGGGGGGGGGGGGGGGGCACCAGCAGGTGCAGAGCCCCCGAGTATCCCGCCGCGTCTGAGGCCGGGGGCCCAGCCTGCGTACGCGCTGGCCATGGACACAGAGGTGAGGGCGGGGGAGAACAGGGCCCTGCAGGCCACTCAGGGGACAGAGGGCTGGAGCAGGGGTGGGAGGGTCTGCCTCGCCTCTCGAGGACCCCCTGCTCCTGTGCTGAGTGGACGCCGTGTAGGAAAGGGCCTCGCAGGGGCCGCTGGTGGCCTGGCCCAGGTGGCACAGCAGTGGTGAGAGGTGGCCAGGCTCCGGTGCACATGGGGAGTGGGTGCAGCCTGTGAGGCACACGGGGTCCGGGCTACTGAAAGGACAGGGGGGGTGGGGGACATGGAGCGAGCGTGCCGGGGGGGTGGGTAGGTGGCCGGTGGAGGTCGGTGCGTCGGTGAGTCGGGGGTCGGGCGGGGCCCTCGGCAGGAGGGCCCGTCCTGGAGGCCGTCGGGGACCAGGTGACCCGGCGAGAGTCCGGTCACCCAGCGAGCGAGTGGGGGGAGGATGGACCGGCTGAGCCGCTTGAGGGGCCTCCAGGAGCGTGTGGGTGTCGGGGAACACACTGGTGGCCCGGGGGCTGGGGCCGAGGCCGGGGCCTGGGATGTGGCGGAGTGGACTTGCTGCTGAGCTGGAGAAGGGCCGTCTTGGCAGGCTGGTGAGGCCAGAGCCCGACGGGGTGGAATCGGGAGAGAAGGCCGCACTGAGTCCTCTCCCAACCGCTTGTGTCGGTAAAGCCGCGGTGAAAGGGAACAGACGTCGCCGTGGGGCCGCCCTCGGCACCGCAGGTCTGCCGGGCGTGGGGCCGCCGGCCGTGGGGGCCAGCCTCTGGAGGGGATGCCGTCGGGCCGTGCTCCAGACGGGAGGTCCGGGCTGAAGGGGCCCGTCGGGACGGCTGTACGAAGGGCGCCCGTCACACCCCGCTGTCCCATCAGGCTCGGTGGAGTGGAGCAAGCCCCGGCTGCTTCGGCGGATCGCAGAGCTGGAAAAAGTGAGTGTGGTCCTGCCACGGCACCTTCCCTGCTCAGGACCTGCCTGTGTGAGAGCAGCGGGTCTTAGAACACGGGACAGACACAGCGCCGCTCCCGGGACTTACACAGGGAGTCGGGTTGTGCTGAACATGTAAACGGTGGCCGTCTGTCCGCAGACGGCATGCGGACACGCTGGCAAGAGGAGACACTTACGGGTCCGGACGAGACCTAAGGGCGTGTCGTGCCTGTCCCTCGTGTCACAGACGGCAAAGCATGGTCACACGACACACCGAATCGTTTCAGGCTCTCGTGGGCACCCGTCGCTGGGTGCGTAGGATCCCAGAGCCTTTCAGACACCCAGCCTGCCGTGCACCTGGGGGCTTTTTACTACCAGTCACTTCCCAGACTGTTTCTCACCACTCGTGTAGTATTTGAATTCTCAGAAAACTGTGCATCCGCACTTTGCCAACCAGGAAAGTTAGGAAGTTACCGTTTCCTCATATCCCCCATGTGAATTTGCAAATGTCAATCTCGTTCTGTTGAACTGGGTCAGAAGTGTCCCTCCCTTTTGAGTACTGGTACAGTGTCAAGTTAGAACTGTCCACTGTTTGGATGCAGAGTAAACCTAGAGGGGAGCAATAAAAAAACAATAATTTCACGTATTTACAAAGCAGAGAACTTAAGTGTCTATAAATTGTGGGTAGTTCAAGAATAAAGCTTGTTAGGAAGGAAGGGCAGCCAGAGGTGGTCCAGAAGCCGGTGGGGCAGCGATCTTCCGCTCGGAGAGATGCTGACATCAGTGGGAATCTGAAGGCGCTCAGTATCTCCAGCTGGCAGAGCTGGATCGTCCTTGACGTGTGAAAGCACAGAGGCTGAAAATTCCAGACGTCCTAGGGAAATAATAGGGTAAACAAGCACAAAGGAAAGCAGTTTACGGTTTCACCTTCTGTGCTCTGCTGTCTGTTTATTACCGCACCTGCCCCATCCCGGCTGGGTCTGCGTGCTCCCTGCTCCAGAGGAAGAGAGTTCGGGGGGTGGGGGGTGGGGGGGGAAATGCCCTTCCATCGCCCCTAGGACTCTGGTGGAGCAGAATTGTCCCCGGTCAGCGTCCCAGGCTTCTCAGATCACACGCAGAGCTCTTCCCATTCCCTTGCTTGGGATGAGTTTCCCCTTGGCCGTTGTCTCTTTCCTAGGAAAGTAAAGTAAGAAATAACGTCTAACAGATGCCTTGTTGCCTCCAGAAAATAAGTCTGATGGAAAGCCCCAAATCACACGCTTCAGAGGTGGTCCTGTCTACCCCGCCGGCTCACTCGGTGTCCAGCTCCACGGTGCACCGGCAGCCGCGCCCCGACCGCCAGGAGGAGAGCGAGCGACTGCGGGGGGTTGTGAAGAGCCTGAAGGGCGAGCGGAATGCCCTGCACACCCGGCTGCAGGAGCGAGAGTACGTTGTCCCGCACGGCTGGCGCCCGGCCACCTCCGGGAGAGGTCCTGCTCCCGTGACTTGTGTAGTTGCTGGACTTGAGCTGTTCTGGGGATTTGGGGAAGGCTCAGCTCATGGCAGTCGTCACACAGATACGTTTCTACGATTCTGAAACTTGTGATGTTTTAGTTGTGAAATGAAGGCAGCTTTAGTGGGGAAAAGGAGACACTGATTGGCCGTATGACGTCACGAAAAGCACGGGGCGGAGGGTGCCACTTAAATCTCTTTACACGGGATTCCAGACGGC